TTTTAAAATTAAATTTATTAATAAATAAGTATTATTTTATAAATTAAATTTAAAATTTAAAATTTAAAAATAAATAAATTTTAAAATATATAAAATTAATTCAGGGATATTTGAACAATTAAAAACAAATCATTAGCCCACCTTGCCTTGGCATAGAATACTTTTGTTTATATTATTCGCATAATACCTTAAAAAAATTCGGAACATAATAATTGAGAGAAGGGAATCAATCAAATATATGCCCTTGGACATAAAGAGAATAAGACTGCTAGCAATAAAAATGGAACTCCACCAAACTTCACCAAATTTCACTGAGCGGCTTGATGATCGCGCGTTTCATTGAGATCGATGAACTGTTCATCAAATTTAGAGATTAAATCTTTAATTATTAATATCTAACAATACTAATTTATTAACCATTCTTTTTATTTAAAAAAAGCTAGCAATAAAAATGTCAAATGTCAGACCCACAGATTTCTCGCAGCCGGAAGACTTTATTTTCTAGCCATGATTTTATGTCCGTGAATTCCCTCAGAAACGTCAACACCCCCAGCTGGCTGTAGAGACCTAACCCCCACCCCCACCTTTTTTTTTAACTTAAATTTAATTTTATTTAATTTTATCATTTTATAACAGATGGTAAATTATATTATAAAAATAATAATTTATCTTTTAAATTTCTTCTCATTTATTTTGAAAGAAAAAATTTTTATATATAACTTTTTTTATATATATAAAAGAGATAAAAATATATATAATTTTTTTAAAAAAAATTGAAATTACAATATAAGAGATGAACGAAAGCAACTTTCTTTATTTTTTAACTCATTTCATCTTGTATATTATGTAATTTAAAATTAAAATCTTTTTCCTTCATTAAAAATATATTTAGTGTAACGTTATAACTCCATATATAGGACGTGACAACAACATCTGCAACTAATAACATAAAAAAGATTCAACTAATAAGTTAATTATTTGATACACTATGAAAAAATTTGAAATTATTGGGATTATTTACAGTTTTATGAAAAAAAAATCCTAATA